CTACTACTACTACTACTACTACTACTACTACTACTACTAGCCTTGTTCTTCAGAGGTGGTAGCTTCCACCAGCTCTTGGCCAGCAAGCGCAAGCAACACCCATCTTCGACCAGCAAACCATGGTCTTTAGTTGTATACTTGGACCTGGGCATGGTATGCCAGTTTCCTCCAATTTGGCCAGCGCCTCCATTCCACAGACAGTTGGCTCAGCATAGCTTTGGTCAGATCCAGCAATGTATCAGCTGTGGAAGCTGGTGTTGGCCAAATCACCACTGCTCTGCTTAGAAGCTTTTTTTGCCATGAGCTGATTCATCCACCCACTGGCTTTTTGTTGAAAGGCTCAGAAGGCCAAGATATCAGGCTCCACTTCACCTTCTCCATGCTGCTAGCTGATGGTGCAGCCCAGAAGCAAGTTTGGAGCAGCAAAGGCGACAGTGGCCCCAATGTTCGAGCCAGTGGCACCACAGAGGACCAGATGCACTGCAACATCACCAAGTACAGCCAATTGGTGCTGACCAGTGATGCAGAGATTCTCCAGTCATATGCCAAATTGGACGCCAAAAAGAGCCAGCGTAACAAAGCAGAGTTTGACATGTGGCAGCAGGCCACAGGTTGGAACCACAGCTCCAAGGCTTTACTTCTCGACCAAGACTTGAAACCCATGGGCCAATGGAGGCCACGCAGCCAATTTGCACATGATTACATGCATAGCATACTGCAGGGGGTAGCACCCATTGTGTTATACCAGTGGCTGTGTGCCATGGAAGAAGGTTTCCAAGTATGGTCTGGCTTGGAGGCTTACTTCCAATTTTGGGTTTTCCCAAGAGCTTGGAAGTGCCAGCATGTTGGAACATATTTCTCCAAGAAGAAGATGACAAGCCACAAAAACAATCAAAAAGCCTCAGAGTCCAAGCTTCAGAGTGTTTAGCCATATACCCAATTGTGCGCCAGTTTGTTTACAATGTGGCATTGCCCAATGGCCTCCAAGCTCCAGCTTGCCAGGCTTTGCTGGCAATGGCATCTCTCATTGACCAGGTCCATGATGGAAACCTTGCTGGCATCATCAGCAAAGGCACTTTATTGCCAGCCATAGAGCTGGCCATACAGTGCTTCCAGACTGCCTTCCCAGAAGTGTCATTGATAAAGAAATGGCATTGGCTGCTCCATATGCCAGATACACAGCAAAGATTTGGCTTCCCCCCATCATGCTTTGCCAATGAAAGAAAGCACAAGCCAACCGGCCAACTGGCCACTAGTTTGCTAAACAAGAAGAATTTTGAAACCAATCTCTTGGAGCAAGCTCTTGCCAAGGAGATCTGCCACTTGGACCAGCCACAGTTGTTCAAAGATGGTGTGCATTTGGTCGACCCCATCTCAGCTTCCAAGAAAAGTTTACAAACTTTATCCAATTTGATTGGTGAGCCCATTGGAGAGGCCAAGAGCAGCCAGTGTGCCAAAGTGAACCATATGAGCTGCTTCAAGGATAACATTGTCATATACCAGGCAGGTGAGTCCATGGGGATTGCAGAATTGCATTTCCTATTGCATGATGTTGCCACTACCTTGGTGGAAGTCTTGGCTGGTCAAAGAATGGCTACCACATAAGCAATGTGCAATTTGCCAAGTGCTGGACCACGACTTGGGATTTGTACCTACAGCAGACATCATTGTGCCTGTGATTTGCCACAAAAGCACAGGCACAGCCAAAATGCTTCTGCCTTACCCAATCTATTCCCAAATGCTGAAGAAAAGCATCCAATCCATGCGCTTGCTGGTTTTGTCTTTCTAAGAAGCACCAAAATTGGCTCTATGGCATTTCATCAAGCCAGTGAATGCATGAAAAGTGGCAATGCAATAGTCGCCTGGCTTGGCATTTTATCAAACCCAGCAAAGTGTTCATGTAGGGTGTGTTGGTATAGTTTATTGGAACATTTTGATATGAACAATTAAAATGCTTGCCATGTGGCATTTCCATCAAAAGAAACATTTTTCAAAACCATGTGATTTTATTCGATGTAAATAAAAGCCACCAGCTAAAATCAAGCAGCTGGTTACTATCTTTTTTATTTTCAAAGCTTATTTTCTTTACCATATGACCTTTAAAAAGTAACATGTTAACTCTTGCTAACTAGTTATAACTTGCTAATAATTTTTTGATAATTTGGTTAACTCTACTTAACATGTTATAAAAAAAACAGATTATTTAAGTGGCCTTCGACTGTTTGGGCAGGGAGGGGGAGGGGGGAGGGGTTGGGAAGCTTCCCCTATGCGGTGGTCTTATGGAATGGAACTAGAACAAAGTGCTGTCGCATAGTACGTTTGTCAGACTAGATCCAAGACTAGCTTGGCTGTATACACTAGGCATCCGGACCAAAAAATCCACTAGGTGCAACCTCGGCTGGTAGGTTTGAAGACATGTCTTTTGAGTTCGCTTACCTTCAACTCCTCTTGCAGAGACTCAAACATGTGTTGAAATCAGGTACTGTATTATTGCAATGCATTGCGCCCTTGAATTATATTACATCCTAGCTGCGGTTAGCTACGTAACTCTGAAAATTTGTGGATCCACGTGGCCACGGCTAAACTGAATTCTTATAAGCAAGAAGCATGACAACAGGAAGGCCCCATAATACCAAGAGAGACGATGCTCGCTTTGAGAGTGCCACAGGGGATGATGTCCAAGCAGGCCTAATGCGTTTGCCTGCCATCCAATCAATGGTCGGAAGCCTCGATGCAGGATCTACCTTGCTGCTAACTGCACAAGTTCGAGCCTGGTTGAGGCAAGATGTTGGGAAAATTCGCCACATGCATGCATGCAAGATGCCAGCTGTACTACAAAGAGTGCACGCACGTTGTTTTCTCATCAACATGAACCGAATCCATTTCCACATGAGATTTTGGCTTTGGCCACGCGTCGCTGTTTCAAATCCTGGTGAGAAGTCGGGTACCGGCCTGCAACGATGAAGCATCGAAGGGTACTCCCGGGTACTTATATATAAAGATTTTAAAAAAAGCGAGCTACGCGTTGCACACCACAATTTGGAGACATACAACAGTTCAACAGGTCGATCCACCTCACCTGCTTCTCTCAAAAGAATTGACCCCAAAGCCAAGGGCTGACCACATAACATGATTTCAGCAACACCGCTATAGTAATTCCAACTATTGATGTTTGGACAATTTCTAGATCAAATTCCAAGATTAGTCAGCCCTCGATCTATCCACTGGAATGACTACCCATCAAGGCTGTCAAGCGCCTGCCAACAACCCAAGATGCCACCATCTTAGCCACTTCCCACCTAGGACACCATGCGGCTGGTTCAGAACAAGACATGTGGCAATGCTTGAATGGAGGGATCCATGTTTTTCACTTTAGGGCGCTCTATCTTGGCAACAATCGAAAAGGATCAGTTTTTGCATGAAGGATCCATGTACTGGGTTTCTGAGCTCAGGTCTATGTGACATCGGAATGACCAAATATATAAATATATATATAACTATATTGTTTACTATTATGGGCTAGCTGGTTTCATTTACAGGCACCATCTTGGGTCCACCTCTTTTTGACCATGCCAGTGATACTCCTCCAGTCTGGTTGGCCTGCAAAAACACATTTTCAAACTACATGAATATAATATGCATGGACCCAAGCTTTTGCATACAACATGCACGCAGGCTTGCGTGTAATATGTGTATAAATACTATGAAGGTATATGGTGCAACGGAGGCCTGTAATTGCATATGGTGCAATTCTGCCACATTCTTCACTGTTTGATCCCCTGCATCAGGCACGTAGACAGAAGCGGCCACTGTGCGCGATGACACAAGCTGAGATGAGAGGGACCCTATTACCCAAGTGGCAAACACAACAATTGATCATATACATACGTCGTTCATCATAACGCACTATATATATACATATGACGATGTATGCTACATGGGACTTGGGATGACTTGGGTGTACCATTGTGGGTTGAACAAGCCAGCACACAAAAATGCCAATTGACCTTGGCCACCCTGCAAACACTGAATGCGTGTTGCATACTGTGCAAGCTTCGGCGGCAAGTCCTCCGAAGGACTGATGGTAAAGGACCTGAGACGGACAAGGCGCAAGGCACGCAGACGCACTGATAATTCACACACATGTGCACATGTGTTTACAAGCTTTTGCAAAAATCCAAACTCACACGTAATGAAAGTTCTTGCAAAAAGTACTTTAAGTAAGGTAAGAACTTTTGAGTACTGATGTCTTCTTCAGTAGGAAGTACCCGCAAGGGATCTCCCACCACAGATGCTTTCAAAGCTGGAAAGTTATACATCTTGGCCTTCTGATAGTGAAAATAATTCAAAGAAAGGTGTGATGTTGAAACGCTGCACACAGTACAAAACACATCTGATAGTCCACTCGTGTATATATATATATATATTTGTAGGCCTTTTGCTGTTTCTGCTCGAACTCTTGCTTTTTCTTCTGCTTGCATCATTCTCATCACCCTCCAGTCCTTTCAGCTTTCCTTCCAACTCCAGCCACATATACAAGCCAAAGTGCTATGTAATGGCCAAGCTGGAAAATGAACCACGCTTTTGGACAAGAGGTTTGGAAGTCAGAGCTACATAAAAAAGCAATCTGTCGTCAAAGGAACTCATGCATGCATGCATGCATGCACGCATGGCAATGAAAATCTCAGCGCGCACACAAGCTACGAGTTTTGCATCCAAATGATTGCCAAATATTTTTGTCGACCTAGACATCAATGTTAGGCAAAATCAAAGTGTGCAAACCCAGAACCCGCCTTTTGGAAGCAAATCAGCAGAGGATGCTGCTGATGCAGCGGCTGGAGCCAAAGCATCATCACCTTCACCCTTTTCTTGGGCTGGCTTTGAACCTTGGCTCTTGGACAAGGCTCTTTTCAGCCCAGCCCCGGCGCTTCTCCGGTGTATTCAACAAGCCGGCAGAGGAGGTGGCATGCCTTTTCCTTTCCTTTCTTTCCTTCAAAGGCTCCTCATCCTTTTGGGATCCACAATGGAACTGGGCTGTTCTGGGGCTGCCCACAGGTCAATGCCATATGCTTCCAGGGTAGCCTCCACAACCTCCTCGGCAGGTGGCTCACCAATGCCTGGTGGCACATTTGCCTCGGGCTTTGCCTCTGCTGCGAAGATGGGCTCATCACCAGGGGGTGGCAGCACTTTTCGAGGGGACATGACGCATTCATCCTCACTCAAAATTTGGATTGTCTCATTGTCTAGCACCAAGTCTTCCATGTTGACCTCTTCCTCACTGTCTTCCATGGTTTCATCCTGTTGGCTACTCACCTGCGAATCTGTTTGCAAGTTCGAAATAGACTCTCCCCGCAATAACCCAGCATCAAGTGTGTGTGGTAAGAGGTTGCATGGCTCGGATTGGGGGAGGCGTCTGCACAGCTTGGGAATCATGCATCCGGTGGACAAGTACGGGCCGAGGCCGAGGCTGCTGCCTGCCATCGATGGATCTGCTGTGCGTTTCATTAAATCTAGTGCAGTATGTGATATTATTCATAGAATGCATGATAACGCATGTATCAAATCTAATATTGTTGGACCGAGGCAAAGGACCCCACATATTAAGCATGCGTGCTGTTGCTCAACTCTCTCCTGTCCCTGCCTGCTCCTTCTTCTTATTGCTAAGTCCACCACGGCTTGCAACATGCTCGCCCTCTGGTGTGAGCAGATCGTGCACCTGCAAAATGGCATATTATATGTTCATTAACCGAAAGATCTTTCAATCCAGTTTATTTACTGAAAACACAAATGAATATCCTAGGTTGTTAATCAGTGTCATTCAACTTCTGATGCACGATTGATTTCAGCGCTTCAGTTCTTCCATGTCCAGGTCTGGAGCAACGGCCAAATGCGCGCACACACACAGATGCAAACACACCATGACTACATACATGCACACATAGTTGAAATGTCGACCAGTGCATGTATTTGAATAACAATCGCATGCTCACTGGCAGGAGGCCTGGATCCAGGATTGCGCTGAAAACGATTTAACATCCATGAGCCCATTGCCAAGAAAACACCCGACTCGACGTGAGCCCAATCCGGCATTTCTGCCAGAATTATAGAAATATAATTTGATCGAAAACCAGGCCATATTTCAATCGCTGTTTTGGACATTATGTTGAGTTAACCAAGTCATCCCATGTCCTCCTGTGGTTGCGACTGCTTCCATGGGTTCAATTGGTAGTGGATGGAAGCCCACTTGAGTGCAGCCTGTCAGAATGACCACACCACTTTAGCTTGGAAGTCATGCATGCGTGGTTTGTTGAGTGCACTGCACGGCACAGTTGAATAATATATGCAAATAACAGTACGTACACTGCCTTTACCTCGGACCGCCATGGCAGGTCGTGAGCAAACGAAGCCACTTTCGGCCTTCCAAATGAAAACAAAATACTAAGTACACACTATTACACACTGGATTTCATAACGCAACTAACCTAAAACCTGGGATCCACCAAGTACTAATTGGAAGGTCAGTTAAACAAAACACGGTACTGCATATATCCATGCACACACACACGATATGCACATCCTCCTATTTTGTAATTAATGTCCATGTCCGTGTCCAGGCCTCTTGCTCACCAAAGGAGCTACCTTCCAGAATGAGGGATTTGAATTTGGGGACCTGCAGTTTCAAAAGTGTTTTTAGTGAACATTCTAGCTAGTCTTTGCCAATACAAGCAAAAATCTCAAACTGAGTGAAGAACCAAATGACGATCAGAGTCTTTGAGCCCAGCCCGTGCCCTCAAGATTTTCCTCCTGGAAGCTAGAAAGCCGTCATCTTCACAGAACTTCTTCAGTCTTCAGGTACTCCTGTGGAGAGAGCTCATTTTCATGTCGCAATGAAGTTGCAGCACATATTGTTGCATGGTTTCATGTCCATTCCGGTTGTGCGTGTGTCCATGCAAGTCTCCCTTTACCAATCCCACTCGCACCACATTAAATCGCTTGGATAAAGTCTCCATCTCCATGTGTGCTCTACTAGTCTATGGTACAAGTACCGTATGTGATATTGTGAAGAACGGCAGTGCCAGCGGCCAGCTTACGGTTTCCAATTGAGCCAAGATGAGCCCACAGTCATGAAGACTGTTTTATTGCATTTTCTTGCAAGGCCAGCTGGAAAAACTGAAGTGACTTCATGCAAGCTTGGGTGACACGGGCGCACCATCCAAGATATCAGTATCGATGATGTCTTCAGATTTGGGGGTCAACGTAATTCGGGTGAGGAACCGGAACCACTGCAATTTTCACCAGCATGCTGAGATTCAGGCGGGTGGCCAATGCACCCTTCATCGCTTCATGAAGTTTCCATGGCGCGCATATTGCCAAAGACACGTATACAACTTTAAACACCCATGCATGCGTTTTCAACAATTGAGCAATTGACACGATACTATCAAGGTCGGAAGTTGCCTCAACGTCTGGTTGGGATCTTGATCCGCATGGAACTCCGCACATCAACTCCCACAAAAAGTCACCTCAACTTCTTTCCCCCCATGGAACTCCGCAGTAAGTGTGTAGAAAACATTGGTTTCGAGACCGTTAGTCACCTCAACTGTTGTATTCACAGTGCGGGTACAGGTTAGGTCTACTTCTTGGCATGGGCAACCATTGGCTTACCTGCATTTAACGCCCATGACTGTGTATCCTCATCCCATGTCATGTAAAAGCCCCAATCCCTGCAAAACTGCTTTGCAGTGCAAGGCACCTACTTTTTCTTGTTGACCTTGGCATGCCTTTGGGTTCTTTTCGTCTCCCACGTCTGCAGCCACCGTGTTCTGGCCTGAGTTTTCAGCTTGTCAAGCTTCTTCAACTCCATGGTGAAGACTCTGTAGAGAGGACAGTTCTTTTTCACTTGAGGTTTCAAGCACTCACGGACGTAGAAGTCAGCAACAGGTCGAGCTTGTGATCGTCGAGATTTGCTGAAGAGGCAGACCAAGTAAGAAGTGCATCCCTCAACTGTATCGAGGTCCCATTCCTGATCACTAGAAGCTGGTGAAGCAGGTGGCACCTCTTGCTCAGCTTCAGCAGGAGCAGGAGCAGTCTGCTTCGCTGCCGCTGCCGGTTCCCCTGTCTCTTCCCTTTTGCGCTTCCTTTGACGGAGGTTCTTCATCAAGTCATCAAGCTGTCTGAGCTCTTGACTTTCCTTCCCTGTTGCTTCAGCTTCTGGAGAAATACCTGGGGCCGGAGGAGCCTGCCAGCCACTTCGAGCACCTGTGCGTAGCAACTTACTTTTCTCTTCTTCAAAACTCACATTCTTTGTCGAGCAATGCGGGCAATACCGACAGTCACTACCAATGTACTGCTGACAGCTAGAGCATTTGTTCTTGGTAGGGGAACGTTTGCGCATGAACCGCAAGGCGCTGTCTCCGCTAGTCACAAATGATGGTGAATATTACAGCTGTCGCCTTCAAAGACAAATGTTGAAAACGCAAGGTAACGCAACATTGGACCTATCAGCAGGGCCAAAAAGCATCATGGTCCCAAGCACCGCTCCCCTGCAAAAACCATCAAATGAATTGTTTTTCTTCAGGAGCAAACCCTATCCCCCATGGCAACGCAAATTGATGCGACTTCCTTGGACGCAGTTCCCCAAGCTAATTTCACAATTCATCATAGGTCGATGTGACTTCCAGCATTCACAGTGCCATTGATGTTAACATATACATTAAAAATCATTCTACAAGCATAGACCCCAAACAGCTTCAAAGCGATTTGTGTTTAGACCAATATTAGTCAAAAATCGATTTCTTGGTACGCCCTACTTTCACCAAGAGCAAACTGCTTCATCAATGAATTTTTGTCGGCATTGACATCGCCATTTGTTCGGCCACACTCCTCTCCAGTAAGCCGGGCCACAGAGACCAGCCACAGAGTTCAGGGGCGCGGCCAAGACAAGGACAAGAGGAGGACAAGACCCGGACACAGATCGGGGCCACAGAGCCCAGCCACAGAGTTCAGGGGTGCGGCCAAAACAAGGACAAGAGGAGGACAAGGCCTGGACACAGAGCCCAGCCACAGAGTTCAGGGGCGCGGCCAGGAGGACAAGGCCTGGACACAAAGCCCAGCCACAGAGGACAAGAGGAGGACCAGGCCTGGACACAGAGCCCAGCCACAGAGTTCAGGGGCGCGGCCAGTGAGTGTGGCCAGCTCTTTTTTTCTAAGATAGAACCCCAACAGAAACTGTTTGGGGAATGACAAGAAACACTACCAGAACCGGAATGAGCTCTGGATTCTGGGCAAGGTCTCACTCAAGTGACCTCAGCGGAAAGACGCTTGACAGTGACCTGATCAGAGGTGCAAACAAAGGGTCCCCCTTTCTTTTAAAGGTCGAGGACGCTCAGGGTATATATGCAAACATCTGCAAACGGTCCGTGAAACATCTCTTGAAAACTCTCCCCTCATGGTTCCCTCATGGTGACCAGAAAATTATAAATAACCCTAAGGCTCCAATCGTCATACAAATTTGTACCCCCCCCTTGTTCGTAGTACATATCAGCCAGTCGCTTGCTTCTCTCTGAATCGTTGACTTTTAGCAAGATCGTTGACTTTATGCAAAACGCCTACTTTTCTTGGAGCCTGCTGAAGCAGATTGCTGTCCGGCAGCCATTTTGGCAAAAGTTTTCACCTGGCCTACCTTGGCTACCAAGGCGGGGTGCACCTTTCTTCAAACTAGATTAGAGTGGTGTGATGTGGTGAGCATGTAGTGCGGCCCCCGGGCATTGATCTCATAGTTCCAGGCCTGGCCCCATGGGGTCTGAGATTGCATGAGCAGTGAACGCAGTGCTAGTAACATGCCGCCGTCCTACTGCAGCCCTGATCACCGGCTGCCTAGTTAGATTGAAAAGAAGGGTCGCTGCCATGAGCGTTTCCGAACAGGAAGGTGGGTGCCCTGTGGTGAAAGCTTGGCTGCAGATGCCTGAACTAGTATCCAGGGGTGCTACAGGCAAGATCCCCCACATCAATCGTGATGGTGACCTAACCCGCCAAACTGTCATAGACAACGTGGACATTCTTGAGCCACTCATCCGTGAATTTGGCACCTCAACTTAACTTCAGTGTGAGCTTGCAAACGGAATCTGGAGTGTGCACGTTGATTTACGGTGTGATCACGACACATGACATCCAAGGCACCCGACCCAGCATCTCCCAAATGCAAGATGTAACCAGCAGGTTCCTCTACTTGTGCCGACCAAGAGGAAAGCCTCTTCCTAAAAGCAACTAGGATTCATGATTTGCAAAGTTTGCAAAAGTAGCACCCCAAACTAAGTGTGCGCTCGCCATCCCCCTGCGCTTAGGTGATGTCATCAAGACCGAAGCTTGGGCTCTTCGCCGACTTGTATCTATCTTTGGGGGTGTGACCCGGAGACCACACATTCCTCGCGATAAGCAGCTCCGAAAGCTGTTTTCATGTGTTGGGATTGATGTAGATCAAGGAAGCGGTGGGGGGCTGAGGTTGTTTTAAAGGATGCATTTCAAAACAATGCACATATGGTTTTCATGGTTTTCAGGCAAAGCAATTCCTTGGACTTCGGGCGCCTGCTCCCACACCCAATCCTCCTCTAAGGTCCTGCTGAGGAAAATGATGAACATTATGATGAAGGTGGAGAATGCGAAGAATCGGAAGCTGCTTGGACTGATGATGAATGCGTCGAAGACCAGGACACCACCAGTCATTACTCATCGAGATTTGGAATTGGCACCTGCAATCCTACGGCTAGGTTTGATTGCACATTTGTGCTCGCTATGGTAACTTCTTAGACTAAATGCTCAAATCCTAGTACTTGCAGTATGTTTGAAACTTGGTCACCTCTTGGAAAAGTATATGTTCATTGGGGTGATGGGCAGGATCTGACTGACCAACATCAACCAGACATTGCAGCGAAAGATGGTGGCAATGAGGGTTCCCACAAGTTCGTGACAAAGTCCATCGTGTCCCGTGAGAGCTTTCAAACAGCAATATAGCGCCCGGAAACTGAATGTATACATGCATGAATGCATGAACAAGTTTACCAGTTTACCGGTCCGTTTATCGAAAATATGTTTGCCGCCATGCCCAGGTTTGTCACGCGGTTTCTCGTCTGAAAGCATGGTGCCTTCGCCCTCGTACACTGTGACGCCGCCACCTCGACCTCGCCAGAGTGGCTGGGACGAGTCGTAGACGAATAACACGCTTAGCAAACAGGCACGCATGCTTCTGTGATGGCCACGAAAATATGGTTTGAAGAAACAACCTCAATGAAGCTCTTGCCAATTTGGCTTTTTGCATAATGTTCATGTAACGGAGTCACTGAGGTACAGAATCACCGTTGAGTGCACCAAAGCACCATGAGCCAGTGAAGTGCGGGTGGATCTGCACTACGTGTAAGACCGCGCACAGGTTCAAGGAGAAGGTTATGGAGACCCCATGCTTTGATGAGGAGAAGGGGCATGCGTTGGTGGAATCACCTCTCATGTGCAACCGGTGCTTTACATTGAGTGATTCTGTGCGTGCTCTTTCTACCAAGCTGTGTCCTTCACTTCACTGTGAAGATGATCTTGTTGAGAAAACTGTGCCACAGGTGGTTCCAAAGCGGCCTGTGCCCCCAGTACCCAAATTTGAGGCCAAACAGGTGCAGGAAAACATCCAGGCTGCTGAAAAGGAGATGCGGCGTTTGAAGCTCCTACAAATGGTTCACTGGGAACGCCAACGCTTGGCAGAGCTGGTGGCCAAGAAGAACAAAGGTGGTTTCTTGGCAATTGTGCACGACAACCTGTTCATATGCACAGACATGTACATATTCCTTAAGTTCAACATGCTGTCTGAGGTATCGACAACGTCGATACTTTGCCCATGTGTGATGAGGAAATCCAGCGCCTGGCCGGGATCGAGGCATTTGATACACCGCAAGAGTATTGCACTACGGATTTGAACGGCAACAGGGTGACTTCGATCATGTACCCACTCCCCGATTGGCCAATTTATGTGAGAGAAGGGGAAATTTGCCAAATGGCAAAGATTGCTTTGATAAGGGGCCACCCTCCTGTCATCTTTTTGCCGTCTACTTCACGGCAGCCCCATGTGACCCGGGTGCATTGCGGTTTTGAATGTTTCTTGCGTACAATACTTGCAATGTGCACCGTATAGCCATGCATATGTTTTGCCTGTGTTTTCATCCGCTGTTTAAAGAATTTCATTTGTAGGCGAGCGCACCTTCACCTTCATCGGCGCCAGTGCCAAAGCGAACCAAAGCTGGAGATGATAGCTCGCTACTTTCGGCATCAACACTTGTACTTGGAGAGGTTCCAAAGCAGGATGCTGCCAGTGCATCGCCAGTGGCAAAGGATGTCTCTAGCAGGGCTGTAGAGGGGAACCAAACCACTGAGCAAACGCCTGAGCAAACACTTCAGCACATGCCTGCAAAGCACACACAGCAGCGAGAAGCAACTGACCCTGTAGAGCCACACCCACCAGCAGAAGCGGCTGAGCGTACACCAGTCCTTGAGGAGTCCGAGGTTACTGCAAAGGCTACGGCTACACAGCCAAATTCCAAACAAGAGCCTGCAACAAACCAGCAAGTGGCCTCAGCACTCATTGAGAGTGAGCCATGTATCTCACCAGAGGAGCAGAAGCGCAATCTAGGAAAAGGTGAGCCAAAACGCAAAGGCCGCCCACCCAAAAAACCCATCTGCGGCAGCCAAGGCGAAAGCCAAAGCAAAGTCGCAGGCCAAGAAGGCATCGAAACCAACAGCAAAGGCTAAGGCAAAGGCCAGCGCCGGCGCCAAAAAAAACACACGCAAGCAAAGCAGATTCACCTGCTCCGTCAGTCGCACCTGAAGATGAGCCAGACATCACAGCAGGTAGCAGCAGCGATGCCAACGCGAAGCCAGCATCCAACCGAACCAAGAAGCCCAGAACATCAAAGGAGGAAGGGGATGCCAAGCCAACACCTTCGAGCAAGCCCCAAGCAAAGTCGCGCTCAGCCAAGCCCACCAAGAAGGATAATAAGAACACCAAATGCAAGGATGACAAGAAGGCACTCTTGTCAAGGAAGTCGTGTGCCTACAAGAAGGCCCGCAGAGAAGCTCTACAATCGGGTAAGACGCCAGAGGAAGCCAACTCAGCTGCCAAAAAAAGCGACTAGCTCGATAACAAAAACCATGTCCGTGTGTTTCCCCATTTTAGACGTTTGGGACACTAAAGATGGGGAATTCGGAAGAGTGTTGAAACATTTTGCAAGTGCAATCGGAATGAATGAACTAATAGCGCTCAGGCATACGCTGAGACCAAGTGATGCCATTAGCACCCTGCCGGTGAAGTGCCACATGGGCTGTATGTTCCATGCGCTTGCCAAGCCTGTTTTGAAGCAAGCCTGAAGTACAACATATAAACCTAGCTAAGCGTGTCGTATACCTACTTGTGCTGAATATGGCAAGCTTTTTAGGGGTTCGGGGACACGTGAGATCAAGGATGGCCAACAGCGCTTGTTGATCTACAACACGTGTGCGTGTATGTGATCGTGAACGATCGACAGATGGCGAACTGTTCGCATCGGAAGGAAAGGGAAAAAAGAGCAAAGCTGCCAAATGGGGATGTTTGGGGAGGTTGCTGTAAGTATTCACGAGTTCAAACCCACATCCAGCCACTCTTGCGGCCTGGAGGTGCTACATGCCCCGAGCGCGGGCCAATGGTTGGAGAGTGCGGGCCAGCCTTCGCGGTGCGCGCCCCCGATCGACCCGATCTGACCAGCGGCGTCATGTTTACACGCACGGCTTTTCATGTTTGGGTCTGAAGCTTCACGTGTTTTTCGGTGGCTAGCCAACACTTCATGCCATCAGTTTAAATAGACATTTGGCTTCAAGCTTCCCTCGCCCCGGGTGATTTGGCGTGATGACGAACTGGGTGACGATCTTGACCCAAGTCCAGGCACCTAAGGTGGGACTTGGTTTCCTCTCGACTTGCATCTGATTCAGTTAGCCTCTTCAATTGAATCCGTGCAGGTGTTTGTGGCAATCGTGAGGGACCTAACTATCTATTTCATTCCTTTGGGTTGGTGTTTTTTCCCGGTGCCCAGGTACTTCTGCTATCGTGGAATGACGCTGTGTCTTTTGATCGGGGCTTCCAATTCTTAGAGGTCTTCTCAGGGCAGGGTAACGTTTCAAAGAAGATGCACCTAAGCCCGCAGAAAGCATGTTCATACATGAGAAGGGAATTGGAACATATAATGGCCAGCAAGAGTCTGAATCTTTGGGGCAGGCACAGGCTTGGCTACTCTGTGGCCAGCATTGATTTTGATTACTCCAACAAACACATGGACTTTCTCAATGTCTCTGGGTTCCTGCTACTTCGTCGCACCCACATGTTCATGCCCAATCTTTCCAACTGGTACCTGAAGGTCCACTTGTTTCCAACCGGTGGTCCGTTGAAGCTCAGGCTCGCGATCTACGTGCTGATGAATATGGCCCCCCGCGGGCTGACCCTGTGGGCACCAGTCTGTGGATCATGGGGGTTGCCTTGTAGGCACACCTCTGGGAGATCGATCATCAACATTGCAGGAAACACCTGCTACCAATTCGTCAGGGATGGAAACCTTATGATTTCTCGGACCCTCAGCAAAATATACCCTTAATGTCGTGCAAGCTAAAAATACCTTCAGGTTGAAAGGACAAAAGGGTTTCGTTTTTTGCCTTCCGCTTAGGCTGACATTGGGCCTGTTGCTTGTGACTGCATTGAATCTGTTTTGGTTGCTGGAGCAACCATCGCAAAGCCTGTTACAGCACCACAAGAGATACGAATGGTTTTGCAACCGTGTGGCATGGGCTTCTAGTCATGCACTGGTAGGTCAAAGAACTTCGTAACATATAGAAAATCGAGAGGGGTGTGATCCAATCCAAGGTGTTTCAAACCCACTTCTGGCTTATGCACCACGGATCGAAATCTGCCAAGCGGACTGTCTTCTATGGGAACCTCTCTACCATGAATCACTTGGACAAGGGAGTCCTTTCCAAGAAAGAGAAGGAGTTGAAGACCAAAGTATCCACAACCAGAAACTTGGATTTAACAGACTCCAATGCAACCACATGCAATGGGGGCATCACCTACCTCGGAGCGGGCCGCCCAGGAAGCTACCGTGACCAGAACGGTGTCAAGCGCTTTGTGGGGAAGAAGGAAGAACTCAAGTCGACACAGCGCCTCGCTGTCCATGGGTTTAGTGTACACATTACAAAATCCCATGGATGTGTTGGAGTTGTCCTCCTTTTACCCAAACCCACAAAACCCCAAGCTTCTTGAGCCCTCATTCTCACGGAGGTCTTATCCTGAACGACTTGGAGACAGCATTCATGAGCTCTATGTGGAAGAGCTTAGGCGCGAACCCCGTGGAGACCTACGCGTCAACAAGACGCCTAAGCCTGGCAAATCCCAGCTGGCTCTTTTTCAAGAGCTTGAGCTTGGTGATGTATGGCAAGACGCCGACTTGCTTCCAGTCTTTCAGTACCTCTACTTCTCAGCACGCACCAGGACCATTAATTGTATATGGAGTTCATGGGACTGATTCCTATACACTTAAAATCCATGTTACGAAAGCCAGCCTTCGTAGAAGGCGCTAGCGGAGTTGTGTCTG